GTTCAGTAGACAGAATAGGAGGTAGATAGAACATTGGCTCAGGTATAAGAACCATTTCGAGACCAGAGAGTGAAGAAGATTAGAGTTCATTTTTACCCACAAGTATCATCAGACTCATTGGGGAGATGAGATGTCTCCTTTTACAGCGGATTATCGATCGTGCACCCAGGTAGGCTCAGTATTGAATCTTTTAGGGTTTTTTTAAAAGTGAACTGTTCAGTTCCTTTGGCTCTTTTAAAACTCCCAGGACGAAAGATGGTGATTGGGTTTTTACCCGTTAAGGAGGGATTGATGTGGGTCGGGTGCTTGGGTCTCCATACCTGTTTGAATTTTGGGACCTTGATGTCGAGCTTCCTGAAAGATTTTTTTGCATCCTTTCTTAGCCTAATGTGCTCTATTCTTTTGCCCTTTTTCGCTCTTGAAAATTTGAGCTTTGGCACGATAGTGTTCAAATTAATTTTCGGTTAAGCTGGTTTCTGAGCGTTCAGGGTTTGAGCCGGGGTTAGGGTTTTATTTTTTGTGATGTGTCAGAGCTCCTTGATAATCAAACCTTGTTTGGATTTTAGACGAGTTCTGATAATAGAATGTGTTAGTACCTTCCTCGTTGCTCGGATTGCTGCTTTAGGGCTCGAAAACACTACCTCAATGAAGGTTTTTCTTTATTTTAACTCAAGGCAGAGATCCATGTGGCAGTGTGGGCATTTACACCATGTTTAGATAAACTTTAGTGATGGTTAATTAATGTATGTTAATGACAATAATTAGATGATAATGACATAGGATGAGGATAGCAAAATTTTTTATGTTTGGATGATTGTATATTAATGTATATTAATGATATATTTTTATTTGGATGATAGGATAGTATGGTTGTATTTTTAATCAAATTACTAATTTATCCTTACCTATTTATGTGACAGTAAGTGATATATAAGAAGTATATAATAAAAAATAAATAAATTGTTTATCAATATAATTATATTTGTATTTAAATAAATAATTATTACAAATTAAATTTTTATATGTAATAAAATAAATAATAAATTATGAAGATAAAAATAGAATTGAGTATATTATATGGGGGTATAAAGAGAAAAAAAATAACATGTCATTCACATACTACTAATTCGGTGGTTTTAAAATTCATCCCAAATTTGCCAGTCAGATACCGTTTGTTACTATTGGAAGTTGAAACAAACATGATTTTTTCATCCCTGTGGAATACTATATATTAAAATTTTATCATCTACTACGATCCAAACAGAGTGTTAACTTGGGAGAGGTCCTGGGAATGGTCGGCTGATATAGGAATGGGGGTCCTGTACAGAGTGGTGACGCTAGAAATAAGAGGATACTGCAGTTGTTTGGGTAGTCCTTGAAAGGGTTTACAATAGGGACTTCGTCAAGTTCAAAGACCGATTTCATGACTCGCCACCAACCTCTAGCTTTAATTCCTTCTGGAATAAATATTCTTCTATATTTCTTACCCCATGACTCGGATAGGACACAGAAGCAACCTCTTTTGTTCCTCCCGAGTGCCAAACTGAGAGAGTTATTTTTACCGTTGAGGTTTTTACCCCATATTTGACTTCCCTTATTCCATTAGAAGTTGCTCAGGATCTCCATAAGCCACATGTTTTTGCTGATTCTCAGCTTGTCCATTTTTTTTCCTGCCCATGCTATGTTAAACGATTTGTTGTCGATGAGTACAAATTTTTTATTCAGACAGTTTGACATGTCTATATAGATTTTGGGTCGGCCTTATCAGCTGATCACCGATTCGAGGCTTCTCTAACTTTTTGTTTGAGTTTAGTTTGGATGAAGAAAGGATTTGGGAAAGGGATTTAGGTCTGGTTAGCTTTGAGAGCAGTGTTCGAGGAAAGAGAGAGGATAGGAGATAAACACATTAGATTTTAGACCTGATGCGGTTCTAAACAAGTATATATACATATATTAAATAAGTTTTAAGAACATATAATCATATAATATTGTAGAATATTCACAATAAAATTGTTTGACGATGTACTTTAGTACTAGCATTTAGTTAATTAGTTGTAGAAATGGTTAATATTGGTTTATGAATTATTATGATTTATACATTTATTGTTTGTTTTAATTTTTATTAATAATTTTTAATTATAAATAATCTTTTTAATAAAAATCAAGATAATATACCAATTGGAATAGAAGTAGACCAATTCAAATCAGTTCAATCAATCTTTAATCGAATAAATTTTAGGTCAATCTTCAATATGACAAAATAATTTAGTCTAATTCTGTTCAATCATGCTCTATTTGAGATTTGTTCATAATTAAAAAACACATCTTAAAGGCATAAAATTGATGCTGAATTATGATATTCACATAGATTTAGAACAACTTTCTGCTATACAAAAATTGAAGAAGCTAACGAGCATATTAGATATATGATTGTGGGAAAAGTAAATCAAGATGAGCCTCCTTAATTGATGGACTGCAGAATTAGAACAGAAGCATGTCGATACCCATCATCTTCTCTTCCCTCCAATTTTTATCGCCTCCAGTGCACGGCACTGGTCGCCGATCAATGAGTCTTTTGATATTCGCAACGAGCAAGGTGCAAGAACTCGAGATTTGAGCAAAAAAAATGCGATTTTTTTACAGACTGAGGTACCACGTCTTAATGAAACCAGTTGCAGGTCATCTAACACATGTTCACAATACTACAAAGAAGCAAACCTTCTTAAGCTTCTCCTCCTTGGCGTTTACTTCCGATTTTTCTAAAAACCCACATTCTCCCTTCCTTAAAACCCGGTTTAAAAGGCGTGAATTGGCCAATTTCTTGCAACTGTATGTATCAGATAATCCCGTTTACTATAAGATGATACATGGTCAGATTGTCGTTTTGGGCTTTGAGTCGGATACATTGCTTCTGAATATTCTATTGAAAGCTTATTCAATCTGTAATCATCTCGACGATGCACGTAAGCTGTTTGGTAAAATGTGCAGTAGGAACTTAATTACTTGGTCGACGATGATTTCCGGGCATGCCCAACATGGGTATAACGAGGATGCTTTGCTGCTGTTTTCGGAATTAAGAGAAGTTTGTGATGAAAGTCCAAATGGGTATATTCTGGCAAGTCTTATTCGTTCTTGCACACAAATGGGTAATAGTGGTGATCATCTTGGCTTTCAGATACACGGTTTTATTGTTAAGAGTGGTTTTAGTCAAGATGTTTATGTGGGAACCGCTTTGATTAATTTCTATGCGAAAAATATTTCTGTAGATGAAGCAAGAGTGGTTTTCGATGATCTTGTGGAGAAAAATGAGGTGACTTGGACTACGATTATAGCTGGGTATGTCAAAAGTGGTAGAAGTGAAGTGTCCTTGCAGTTGTTTAATCAAATGAGAAAAACTAATATTGTCCCTGACAAATATGTACTATCTAGTGTTTTGAATGCCTGCTCAGTGCTGGAGTTTGTTAAAGGTGGGAAGCAAATTCATGCTTATGTTTTGAGGAAGGAAGGTGGAACAGACATGGATGTTTCCGTTATTAATGTGCTTATAGATTTTTATGTGAAATGTGGAAAAGTGAAAGCTGCAAGGAGACTTTTCGATCAGATGGTGGTTAGAGATGTTATTTCATGGACAACAATGATAGCAGGGTACATGCAGAATTCATTTGATAGAGAAGCCATTGCGCTGTTTACTGTGATGGCCAGACTGGGTTGGGAGCCAGATGGGTTTGCTTGCACAACTGTTCTCACCTCATGCGGTTCACTTGAGGTTCTAGAACATGGAAGACAAGTGCACGCTTACACTATCAAGGCTAATCTTGAAAAGGATGAGTTTGTTAAAAATGGGTTGATAGATATGTATGCAAAATGTGATTCTTTGGTTTATGCAAGACGTCTTTTTAATGATATGACTTTTTATAATGTGATATCTTATAATGCAATAATTGAAGGATATTCAAGACAGGACAAGCTATTAGAAGCTTTGGGTCTTTTCCATGAGATGAGGCTAAGGTTGCTTCCACCAAGTCTTTTGACATTTGTTAGTCTTCTAGGTTTATCTGCTTCGTTATTAATCTTGGAACTGAGCAAACAAATTCATGGTCTCCTATTCAAATTTGGGCTCTCTGAGGAAATTTTAGTAGGCAGTGCTCTAGTAGATGTTTACTCTAAGTGCTCATTTATCAAAGATGCAAGACTTGTCTTTGATCAAATGAACGAGAAAGATATTGTAGTATGGAATGCAATGTTTTTTGGCTACACCCAACAGTTGGAAAATGAAGAAGCGCTCAGGCTATATTCAGAATTACAGTTATCAGGAGAGAGACCTAACGAGTTCACTTCTGCTGCTTTAATTACTGCATCTAGCAACCTTGCTAGTCTCCAACATGGTCAACAGATCCATAACCAGATCATAAAAATGGGTCTCGAATTTGATCCATTTGTAACAAATGCCCTGGTTGATATGTATGCTAATTGCGGAAGCCTTGAAGAGGCTCATAAGACCTTTAGTTCTACAATTCATAGAGATGTTGTTTGTTGGAATTCTATGATTACATCATATGCAAATCACGGGGAAGCCAAAAGAGCTCTTAAGATGTTTGAGGAAATGATAACACTGGGAATAAAACCCAACTATATAACATTTGTAGGTGTTCTATCAGCATGTAGCCATGCTGGTCTTGTAGAAGATGGGTTTCAACAATTTGAATCGATTCCCCAGTATGGTGTTGAACAAGGGCCAGAACATTATGCCTGCATGGTTTCTCTTTTAGCCCGTTCTGGTAAACTCTATGAGGCTAGAGAGTTTATTGAGAAAATGGCAGTGAAACCATCAGCTGTAATATGGAGGAGCTTGCTTACTGCATGTAGAGTTGCTGGTGATATTGAATTGGGGAAACATGCAGCTGAAATGGCAACTTCAATTGATCCGGCAGATAGCGGGTCATACATTCTACTTTCAAATATCCTTGCATCTAAGGGTATGTGGGCTGATGTGAAGAAAGTGAGGGAGAGAATGGACTATCATGGAGTAGTGAAAGAACCTGGGTGTAGTTGGATTGAAGTGAACAATGAGGTTCATGTGTTCATTGCAAGAGACACAACTAATCATATAAGCAAGCTAATTTATTCAGTATTAGATAATTTGATCTTGCAAATGAAAGATTGTTACATACATGACACTATTACACTTCTGCTGAATGATTGAGGAGAAAAATGGTAACAGTGGAATATTTATTTATTCTTTAATTTGGAGATCTTCAGCAGTTATGAAGAAGAAAACTTTCTTGCCCATGTGAGTGATTCTGAGCACAAAATTACATATTTGTTCAGGGAGATATTTGAGTTTCAGCAATTGTTTGGTTTGTGGATTTGAAAGAAGATTTGGATGATAGCTGCTGTATATGAACTTGTAGTAACATTTTCCTGGTCTTGAGTACAAATTAAATAAACACGAGAGCTGCTGAATGGCGAAGGTTATGGTTTTTCCTTATAATGGAACCATAAACATTAGTCAAAAGCTTGTGGTTTGGAAATAGTTTTGGGGGCATATTGTAATCGGAACATCAAGTTAATCGGTGAATATTCTGAAACTCTAGTTCATCCTTTTGTTACTGGAGTGGAAGAGAGAACTGAAACATATGGTAAAGGTCTCCAGAAGATTATTGTTGTATGTATATATTTTAAATTAGCTCATTTTGTACTGAGAAACGTGAAATAATAACAATAGGATTGCCCTCCTCATTCATCCTCTAATGCAGGCTGCCAAGTTATTTGTCTTTGAATTGGTGAGCGCTGCTTGCCTATCAATTACTTGCTACTAGAACTTCAAATTGCACCTGTATATGACTTATGCTGAGATATTTTCTCCATAAGCACTAGGCACTACAAATTATTCAATCCTTTGTTTGATGTCAAAAGATAAGCAATAGAATAAGATAAAACTAAAAAAGTTTTCTTTTGAAAAATAAAAACTACAGAAGTACGAAAGTTGAATGAAAAATTTGTTTTCTTTGTGGGTTGGAAGAAATTTGTTAAAACTTGGTGAAGACACAGATTTATGTTTTTACCAAATTACCCTTGTATATTTTTGCTTATTCCAAACTACTTTTTACCATTTATTTTTTTTTCGTTAACAATTTGGCAGTCTTTCATAATGATGATAATATTTTACAGATTATTATGGGCCAAAATTTTTTGTTGGAGAAATTAAATATGGTAATAGTAATTAATTATAGTAATAATTAAATATGATAATAATAATTAATTAAACCGTTGGAGAAATTAAATGCGGTAATAATAAGTAATTAAATATCGAAATGTTAGTAACATATTTTTAATTATCATTTCCGGATGTATTAATAAAAAAAATTTAATTCAATATATCACTAATTTAAATTTGTTTAGTATACGTAATAGTTAGATTTAATATATTATTTTGTATGACTAATTTATTAATGTAAATGGTTTATTATTATTTAAAATAATTAAAAAATAAAATGATATTAAATATTTCAAAATTCTAAATTAACTAATATTTATTCATAACATACATTATTATTTTGAAGATCTAGAAGCTCACTGATCTACCACATGAAAAGAATGTGATTTGATGTAAATGCATGTACAAAGTTAAGTTCCTTGATAATGGAACATTAAAAAGATGCAAAACAAAATTTGTTTACTCAAAAGAAGACTTGGATGATCATAAAACCTTCTCGCTAATTATAAATATTGTTTTTATTAGGCCACTTATGTCTCTTAAAGTCATTAAAAATTGATATTTTCATCAATTCAATATTAATAATGTCTTTCTACATAGAGAACTAAATGAAAAACCCTACGCAAAGTTGTCATCAAGCTATCCTAATGGTAGGAAGCTAAAAGTTTACGAGTTGCTAAAGAATATAAATGGGCTCAAGCAAGACTCATGGTAATAGTACATAGAACTTTCAACTTTCATCATTTAGTAGGAATTTTTGCAGTCAAAGATATATTACAACTTGTTTATACAACCATATGGAAAGATTTTATTGTATTATTGACTTATGTTGATGATATAATCATAGTAGCCAACAACATGAGAACAATTGATAAAACTGATATCAGTGATGAATGAAAGACTCAAGATCAAGGATCTTGAGAAACTTAGATACTTCCTTAGCATTGAAGTTGCACAGTCTAGGGAAGGAATTCACATATGCCAACACAAATGTGTCCTAAATTTATTAAATGACACATGAATCTTGGGTGTAAGGATATCATAACTACTACTTGATCAGAATCTCAAATTATCAAATGATGATGGTGAATTAATTCCTAATTCAACCATGTATAAGAGAATTGATGGGAAACTTATGTATCTAACTCTTATAAGACCATATCTATCTTATTCAACGCAACTTCATAGTCACTTGATAGAGCATCTGAAGGATCAACACCTAAATGTAGCTTAAAAAGTCTTGAGGTACATAAAACATTTTTTAGGAGAAAGTCTTATACTCATATTCTTCAGCATTGTAACTCAATACTTATAATTATAGTGTTTAAGGAACTTGCCCAAATATGCAAAGATTAATGACTAGATATTATGTCTTCCTTGGATCTTCCTTAATCTTTTGGAAGTCAAAAAAACAAGACACCATTTCACACTCCTCAACAAAAGTTGAATATCGGACCAGAACTAACCTTTATTGTGAATTGACATAGATAAAGTCTTACCTACTAAGTAACTTAGGTATTAGGCATTAACAAACTACCATCATGCATTTTGACAAGAAAGCTACAATATCATTACAACAAATTATATCTTCTATGAGAAGATAAAACACATAGAGTTGAACTGTCATTTGATTCGTAGAAGATTCAGAGTTGAAGTATTATGACAAAACATGTAGGAAACAAATAACAAATTACAGATATCTCCACTAAGGTTCATCTGAGTGGCCTCTTTCACTCTCACATGTCCAAGATAGGAGTAAAAATATCTACTCTCCATCTTGTAGAAGGATGTCAAAGTATGGTCAGACTAACCCGAGAAGAATCCAAATTAAAGTGGGATGTAAAGCTCCATAAGAGATTGAAGTATGTATATGTATAGGTTTCTTTAGGGTAAAGAAAAATAATTGCATGTATTAGAGGTGTACATCTGCCTCTTTCCTGTACATATATAAACATCATTTTTTCTCTTTAGAGAGATAAAAATGTTTGAGAGAAAAGACAACCCTTTTAAGGTTTTTTTTTCCTCTCATCTCTGCGTGTTTTCATTCTCCTTCCCTCTTTTTTCCTCTTTCCCTCAGGTTTTTCACCTCACATGTCATCATTGAACTTTTATTTACCCTCTTTGTGAGAAAACTTGATAACTTAGTTAAGGATGGATGAGATAGAAGGCTTACAAGCTTTACATTGATCAAACCCAAACTTCTCTACTTCTCTAATTCCCTCAATTTCTCTATTTCTTGTTATCACAACAATTGTAATTTCATTTGTTGTTCGATGATTTAATGATTTCGCAATTGGAAAATATGTTGTGCAAGTTGATGAAGAAGATGAGATTGGGTCACTGGTGAAGAAGATGAAGTTAAGGCTTGTGGGTGAACATAAAACAGGAAAACATGAAAATGTTAAGGTTTTTGGTAGGTTAAGCAGCTTCCATAAATATCCTTTTTTTCCTACCATCCACTCTAATGTCATGTTGTTTGATACATTACACTCTCTTAAGAGAAAATAAATATATGAAATGAGATAAAATCTTTTACATATTTTTTTTAAAATTGCAAGAATTTAGGGGGAAAATATCGATTTAAAGAGAAAAAAAAAACACAACTACCGATTTGATATTTAAGTATAAAAACCAACTCATTATATTAAAAATTAAAATTAAAATTAATTAAAAATTTATATTTATTGTCTCATAAAAATTTATAATGAAAATTAATTAATTAATTAAATATTTTAATAAAATTATAATACATAATATAAAATTAAAATATAATTTTTGGTATAGAAAATACGACTATTATCGAAGTTAATCCCTGAACTTTGATAAATAATTTCGTCCAAAAAGTATTTTCTATGTACTTTAATTTTAAATAAAAAAGATCAGGCATGGCTTTTTGTATATGAATATATTTAATTTGTTTTGTCAGAAACTAATCAAGTATGGTATTTTCTTAAAGTTCAAGTTCAAATTGAATCAGATTAGGGTTGGCACAAAAAGATTGGCAAATTTGAAATTGAAACTCCAAAATCCATCTAAATGTGACCCACTATATATATATAATTTATTATTACTATAAATATTTTAAATTTAAATTGATAAATATAATATATTATATAAAAAATATAATTGATATGTAAATATAATTATATTTACATTGATAAATATAATTATCATATAGTATTATCTATTAATAAATATATATTTGTATTTTTTAGTAAAATTACCGTTCGAATTCGGATTGGATAATGCCCAAATTCAATACAGTTTGAAAAATTAAAAAGATTTAAATCAACTTTACATTTAGGATGAGCTTGAATTTTCTCTTCAAAGAGCATTTCATATTTAAGCTTAATAAAACTCGTAAAAAACTCACTTCATTGTAATAAATCACGTCTTGTTTAGATGGAAAAATCAATTCTAATAAAAAAATACTAAGAAACTCAATAAAATACCACGAATTAAGGAAAAAAAGTTCAAAGGCAGTGAAACTGTTGATTTCATGGGATTCAATTTATGTTAAGGTTGTTGAGTTTTAAATTTACCATGTGGTCTTATATGTGTAAATTACTTTACATAAAATGCTATTAGATTAGTTGGGTTCGATTAAAGATGATCCGATATGGTTAAGGATATATTAGAGTTTAATGCATCAACTTAAAGTGTGAACTTTATTTTATGTATAGAGACCAAATCTGTAATTTTTAATTTTATGATTAGTCAAATTAGGGATATAGAAAATTTACAGATAAAATTTGTTTATAAATATACGGTTATGGTTCCCAAATTACACATAATATTTTTCTATTATGATATCTTATCATCAGAAATAAAAAATGTGTGAAAACTCAAAAGACTACGTGCTAATTTAAAAAATTTATTGCAAAATGTACATATTTCTTTCGGTGTAGATTCATGTACGTTTCTGTTACATATATAATCTCTTTAATTTGATATGAGTTTGGTTATTTAGATTTCAAATTTATTTTTGAAATCCCTACAAGAGTTTTCTTAAAGGGTTTTTTTGGAAAGTTGGAGGGAAAAATTGAGAGAAAGATAGATTTTTTGAAAGTTGAATTGTAAAAGTAGAAGGCTTTTGGCTCTTTTCTCTCTAAGTTTGAGCCAAAGAAAAAGACAGAGAAATGAGATGGGAGAGTTTAAAGGATTTCAAGTTTTCTTTTTTACTTTCTTGTCTTATAATCTTTTTGACTAAAGAATGATGATTGAGAAAAAAAAAGAATACATTACAAGAGAGAAAAATAAGTACTTGATGTGTGATAAAAACATACCATTATAGGTGCTTAAAGATAATGGTGGAGATTGAGATAGTAAAACACAAAGAAAGGAGATTGTGGGAACCATGACGATGAAGATGGTGCATGGACAATCGTGATTTTAGTTTGAGCAAAAAGAGAGAAATTTGAAGTTGGCTTTTGTGTTCATAGTTCTACTAGTTTAAAAAAAAGTAGAAGCAAAAAGATTGGTTGGTTGTTGGGTACAATGAAATTGCTTGTTTTTTGGTAAAATTTTAGAGTTTTTTTTTTCTTTTAATTTATTTTTTGGTGTTGAAATAAATGGTAAAAGCAAAGGAAGACTTGAAAATAGTTGTAGAGAAGGGTGTGATTTCAATTGACGAGAGAAAATAGAGAAATTAGTATTTTAGATATCGAAAACAATTGAAACGGAAGAAAAAAAAAAAAGAGAGAAATTGTTGGTTTCTTTGGATTCCCAAACAAAAAATGGGCTATTTTAATTTTTTTGAAGTTAAAATTTGATGGTGTTTAGTGTTATTAAACATCTACGCAAAATCTATTGTAATATTGATCAAAATTCAAAAAATAAATTAGGTATTTGCTTAAAAGTAACTCATTAATTACTTCTCAAAAATTATTGGGCCCAACTCGTAAGGCCCAATTTAGAGGAAAGAAGTTAGTAGAATCCCAGTTCCTGTTACAGTCCAATACCAGTCGAAATTGAAAATCTTCAGACTATAAAACCCTCCTTTATTGTTGCTTTCTTCTTCTTCGACTATCTTTGGTGTCATCCTGCATAAATCAATCGTTGCATCTCGATAACCGCTGTCGTTTGTCCTGACTCAACCTTCCTTCTTGCTAGCTTCTGGTTTCTCCTGCAACAATGGCGACTGTGATGCAAAAAATCAAAGACATTGAAGATGAAGCAAGTAACTTCCCTTAGTTGTTTTATTCTCCCAAATTTTAAATCTTCTATTCGATTTTTAGTTATCTTTTGGTTCTTTTTGCTTCTCTATAAGACGAAAGTGAAAATTGTGTCAATGGAAGTTCGGACCCCTTTCTAATTCCTCTGTCTATATTAAGTTATAGTTTAGTTGTTTATGAGATTTCTGAGTTAGTTCTTCATATTTCTCTGAAAATTAAGAAGCAGTAAATCGGGAAGGGAAATGCTTGTCAAAAGTTTGTTGCTTATAATTTTCGTGAGGTGTATAATATTTGTGCAACGTCATATACATTTCGAGGAATGAAGGTGTCTTTTCTCTCTTTTTTTTCCCCTATCTTTGTTGATTGCAGATGGCAAGGACTCAGAAGAACAAGGCCACAGCTCATCACCTGGGCTTGCTCAAGGTAAACGTCTAACTGCATCATGTTATCTGCACTAAATACAATCAAAGTGTATCAAGTAGTTTTGGCGTTCTTTTGGAAATTTAGACACGTATTTGTCTGCTCATCTTCATGCCAATATCCATATTATACACCTGGCGATTGCACCGTTTAGACTTTAGCAGCTGGGAGCATGTTAATAATGCTGTTGCTGTTGTGATTATCTTTTATGTCAACATTTTAGTTTGTTTTGCACTCCCTGCCTATGGATTTGCACCATCTTTTTTCTTATTGTGAATTATTTGGTTCGGTGTAAAATATCGTCAATTAAAGGAACAGGTTAATATTTATGTCTGGAATTGGTACTTGTGCATCTCTTATGTGCTGATATATATATTTTTTGAAATAAAATACATATATATTACATATATGACACCAAGGGGGTGCTGTCCCTGTACAAAAATATTTTCAAGTCCGTTAATACATTTAATACTCTCCCAAAATCATCGCGGTCATATACATCATGATCCAGAATTAGTGACTCAAAAGTATGTAACCACCGATCTCTAATTTTGCCAATATCCCTCACACACCCATTAAACGTTCTATTGTCCCTTTCTTTCCACACCACCCAAAAAATTGTTAAAGGAATTAAAGTAACAACCTTTGGTCTAATCCCAACCCTCCCCGAGCCCCAAGTTCATTTTTGACTGAGCCTCCAATGACCCAATTTATACCCAATAAGTTGTACACCATATGCCAAAGACTATAGATCACCGGGCACCAAAGGAGTAGATGATTGCAAGATTCAGTAGCTTCCATGCAAAGATAGCAACCATTGATTATAGTATTATTTCTCTAATTTATTTCTCATCTAATGTTATAAAACTGTGTTTTTGAGGATTCTATTAAATTTTTAATGAGATAAATGATCAATGAAAGACTTATCTTCAGATTACATATGAACAAGTAACTGCTAGATGAGAAAGCATCATAAATTTCCATGTTTATTCGGTATTATTTTGAGTTTAAAAACATTTTAATCAAAGTTACCAAATTTTCTTTCTGTTATGCAATTTCAAAGTGCACTTTTTTTTCAGCTGAACTATCTACGTTTTGGATTAGTAGTAGATGCAGTGTTTTTCATGTGTTACAAGGTTATATATGGATTTGTGTGTCCATCAGTACTCCATAATCGGAAGAGAGTCAAAATCATCTAATCTGTTGTGACCTTGATGCTTTCTTCCCTGAAAAATAAAAGTTTTGACTCTCTAAATTTCTATGATGGAGATTGTTTTTGCTATCTGGTTTTAGGCTAAACTGGCAAAGCTAAGGAGGGAACTTCTGACACCTACATCAAAAGGAGGCGGTGGTGCTGGAGAAGGATTTGATGTTACCAAAAGTGGAGATGCAAGAGTTGGTCTAGTAGGTTTTCCTTCGGTTGGGAAATCAACACTTTTGAACAAACTAACTGGAACTTTTTCTGAGGTAGCGCAGCTGCTTTTTTGGATCCTTTTTTCTAATGTTGCTTTATATGAATTTTTATCCAAATGGAGAATCCAATAAACAAATATATACGTTTCCTAGACTTGAATGTGAGTGTTAAGAAAGTCATTGAGTGGTAACCCTTTTTCTTTCTCTTTTACATTGTTTTGGTTGGATTTCTTCCCGGTTGTCATGGTATTCTATCAGGTTGTGGAGTGCTTGAACTTGTTTGGTCATTGATTCTTGAAGGGCTGGCACCACTTGCAAGACATCCTTGACAAAGATTTGGGTAGATATGCTTTCTTGACTTGGAGGAGTATCTTGAGTTTTTGCTTACCTTACTAGTCCTTTGTCTTGGCATTCCAATACAAAGGAAGACCCTAATATGGCAACAAGAAAAAGAGTTGATGTCATGCATGAGATGCATGTATGTATCATATTTGGTTGTTTCTCAAACACATGCAAGATCTTTTCGACCTAACCTCTGCAGCATACATATCAATAGATGGGCCTTACTATTGGGTTTTATTCTTATGCTTTATAATTGATACCAACAAGGAGTAATCTAAATCGACAACTTCATTCATAAGTAGAAAATAAACATGTTGAGTGGCTTTCTGCCTAGAAAAATCACCGTTATGTGTACAACAAGCATTTATTTCAAAAAAACAAGCATTTTGCTTGTAGTTGTGGGGTCGTCGGGTAGTAGAAGACGATACTACCTGGCCAAGTGCACTTGTCATACAATCATGTGCTTGTTGTAGACAAAAATGTATGTTTCAATTTTAGCTTCAGAAACGTGCGATAAAAGGCTACCCTCCTGAAAGTTTCTAAGTCATTATATGGGCTGAGTTTTCGATGTAATTAAATGGCGCTAGTTAGAGGTATGTGGGTCCTTTCCAAGCCCTCATAGGGAATCTATAGACACTCTTTTGTACCTTTTAGGATGTGATTGCGAATGATGAATACAGTTAGTGTTCTCCCAAACTTTAGTGAAATTGGGTTTCTCGACCATCAGGCTAATTAGAGAGAAAGTGCAAAGTATGTTAGTATTAGTGTTGCAAGGAAAATTTCTATGAGTAAAAGAAGAGCGGAACTTATTGTATTCAGAAGTAAAAGATTTGGATAGACATAGCTGAGCATAAGCCTACTGAGCTCAAAACTCTAGAAAGTACACAACTAACTCACAAACTGGAATAAGATTTCAAAGGAGCGACACCCAGAAGGTAGAGAATTATTGAAGTTAGATATCTGGATTCCTTGCAACGGACTAACTGAATTCCCACTGATGAATTTGAAAATTGGTTAAGATCTAGCGGAGGTGTTAGGACCCTAACCCTTCCAGTCCAATAATTGGTTTCCTACTTATAACCAAGCTTAACTAGCCAATCTTTACTCGATTTTTTCATATCCTAAGCATGCAATTTTATGATAGCAGTTAAATTACACATCACACAAGAATAGAACAGAACATGTCAGAAGGTAAATCTCTAAATCATATATATATTGTTGTTTTCATTTCATGATCTTATGTAAAAGAGAATTATCACCCTGAAAGATACTAAGAAAAGTAGAGGTAAATAAACTCATTGCGGTGATAAACTTTTCATTTCTTTTTGAGAAGTAATATAAGCATTCATTAAAAAACATCAAGAGGTACAACCCAAGTATAGACAAAAAAAATGACGTAGTCGATTCCAATAACGATCACTGGATATTCATTGAATTGAAGGTGGTAGATTCTCTTATTATGGAGTCAAGACAAGGGCTCAAGATTAATCTGTAAAATCTAAAGTTCTTTCAGGTAACTGCCTAGATGGTGATTCTTATGCATGTCAAGGTTTTGGGTGGTACAGTATCTTCTCTTCCTATTAGACATCCTGGTCTACCTAGATATTCATTGAATTGAGGATAAAATCAGCCATTGTCTTCAATCCCTGATAAGAGAACTACCTCCTCATTGGTGACTAAGGTTGCATCCAAAACTTCCCACCCAAAAGCATTATGCAAATCTACAGCAACATTCCCAAAAACCTAACCAAGCTTGCTGTTGACACTTTTGCAATCAGATTGTAAATGCACCCAACCCAACTTATTGTAAGAGTTACAAATAGTGGTGTCACCAAAGATATTAGGAATCAAGGTGGTGAAAGTGGAATTCAAACTTAGAAGAAATATCTTTTCTTGAAGAACTCGTCAAAAAAAATTGTTATAAGCCACATGGCTAGAATTGATCAATATATGGCTGCTAGAGTGAGTGATAGAGAGCTGTTGGGATGAGAGATAGCTGATGGGATGAAAAATGGCTGTTGGAACAGGTCATTTTGTTATTTTATTTAGTTATCTAGTTCTATTTAATGATATAATCAGTTATTAGGATTATGAATCACTGATTCACTTGTTACCTTCTGTTCAAGTAAGTGATGAGAGGGACCGCATTATCTGAAAATTAACGAAAAACAGAAGCTTCTCTGTCAAGTCCTACTATCAGTATTTGGTAAGCAAAAGGGGGATGGGGTTGATCAGTTTCCTGGGTCCCAGATTTGGAAAGCAAAGGCTCCACCTAAAATTGCTTTTTTTTGCATGTGAAGCGGATAGAGAATGTATTTGACTATTGATAAGCTGATGAGAAGGGGCAGAACTATGGTGAATGGATGCTATCTATGTAAACAAATGCGGAAACCTGTAGCCATATTGTCCTTTGGTGCCTGGCGGTTTATAAGCTGTGGACCATGGTGTATAATCTTTTTGGCATCAAGTGGGTGATTGTTGGGTCGGTGAGG